GTTCTTGTCGACACGACTTAGTTTTAAGCTGGGAGTCTTTGGTGGTTCAATTACCCCAGTCGAATATATGGAACAGTTAACAGAAATTGAGTAGCTAAATGTATGCCAACCTTGAAGAGGGCAGCAGGAACACCAGAGGCATGCTTTGTTTCCATTGCACAATCTTGCACAACCTTGCTAAAGTAGTTAGGATGTCAGAACACCTCCGTGAAGCAGTAGTAATAGGGCCGATGAAATCAATGCCAATAAGATACCATGGTGACACCTCTTGTATAGGATGGAGTTCCGGGGCTGCTTTGGTCACTTTTCTGCCTGTTCTCTGGCACGCATCACATGTTCAACCTTATGGTATATACAATCAAAACACCATAAACGCATACACACTTGTACTCCACCCAACTTACAAGATGGTAAACATCTTTTATAACACCTGCCCACGTAAGTCTTTCAGTATTTTCTTGCTGCCCATGTGCCCAGATGTAAGTCAGGTCCTGCTTCGGGGCTAAATATGCCTTTTCGCCCTAAAGTGTACGAAATCAGTAGACAGCTTTACGCTAAGCGTGTGTGTAGAGAGTAGTGCTGGGAGATCATCCAGCTGCACCATATCATCAAAGTAGGCAGCAACTGGGCCTTCATAGTCTATGCCAAACTCAGCAGCCTGAAATACAGCAGTGTGATACAGGTACAATGATAATGAAAGAAACTTATATCTACGTCTAGACCACTCAGTACATCATTGTCGGTGTCTTGGTCTATAATTCCTTGTAGCCAGAGCTGATGAGGTGTCCGGTTGTGCTCAGTTCGGAGGCGATGATCGCACCACCCTTGTCGAAAAGAGTTGAGCTGCTTTTGAAGCTTTGGGAGGAATGTTATATGTAGCGCCATTACATCTGCATTATTTACCGGATCAAGCAGGGCCTGACTCTCAAGATGGTAAAAGAGGTAATAAAAGTAACTGACACAACCAGTGAACAAGTCCCTCCATAACCGCTCGATGCGCTGGTTGTGTTCCTCTTTAGGAATACAATACTCCCCTTGCTAAAGGCATTACTCACTGACAGTATTTGGACAAGGGCTCCTATGTAAACTGGCCATGGCAGCGGGCACACAGATCACCATCAGGGCCTCGTCACTGCCAGCACAGACCATGCGAATCTTGAGGCACAACGTCGGTCACACTGAGGAAGCTAGTGGACAGGGTTACAGCAGAAAGAGGTCACACTTTTGCTGCTTCTTTCATGCTACCTTGCCCCCTCATTTGCCAGGGCTGCAGTCAGGCCATAGTCAGGGCCACAGTACTACCAACTTACTAGAACAAAATTATCCTTAAGTATTTGGACAAGGGGCTCCTATGTAAACCGGCCGTGACAGCGGGCACACAGATCACCATCAGGGCCTCGTCACTGCCAGCACAGGCCATGCGAATCATGAGGCACAGCGTCAGCCACACTGAGGAAGCTAGTGGACAGGGTTACAGCTGAAAGAGGTCACACTTTTGCTGCTTCTTTCATGCTACCTTGCCCCCTCATTTGCCAGGGCTGCAGTCAGGCCATAGTCAGGACCACAGTACTACCAACTTACTAGAACAAAATTATCCTTAATCACTTAGCTTCCTTTTCTCTATAGACTTTTGAAGGAATACTAGCTACCTGTAATCATTGCGGTTGGTCTATATACCAAGATTGTATAGGAAAAGGTACTTTTCTGACTAAAACCTACACATACACAACAGTCAGGGGTAGTGTGGCCACAGTCTGGCCACAGCACTACCAACTTACTAGAACTCCCTAATCACTTAGCTTCCTTTCCTCTATAGACCTTTGAAGAAATACTAGCTACCTGTAATCATTGGGTTTGTGCCTATATACAAAGATTATGTAGGAAAATATACTTTTTCTGACTAAAACCTACACATACACAACAGTCAGGGGTATATACAAACCTCACACACGACCACAGTGGAAGTTGCTTCGACCTATAAAATGCTGCTGGAGCAGAGCCTACAATTAAACTATCCTCTGGAACAGGAGTGATCCATTAAACGAGGAAAAAATAGCCGTTTGAAGGATGAGGGTGCTATTCACAACTCTTATCGCCGCAGCAGTCATTATGACAGCAAATTCATGGCCATTAGAGCATGAACAACTACCTGCTGCATATGAGTGTAAGCTTTTCTTGTTCTAATGGGCAAAACATTCTTGTTTCTAAAGCTAACCTCATGTTTGTGTTGTCCAGATTATCTGCAGCAATTGATGAGTGACAGGAATGAAGAGATTTCTAATACTTTTGCTGGTAGGTATATAGTAACCATGCATATTTATTTACTACTGTTGCTCGCTATAAACTCTACCAAAATGATGTTGTGCAGCAAGTTTTGCCCTTCATTCTTCATGCTTTATGTCTTTTAGATGTCTCCACACACACAATCCTTATTTATTGGGCTATTTTGTCTTTGACTAGCAGAACTGCAGGTGAACAAAAATTACGGCGACAGTCTCCAAACTCAGTACACCCTTCCCGTTGAATCTCTCACAGTAGTGTTCAGGAACCCTGAGTCTGGTCGAGTGGGGCTGACTCTGGTCACCGACAACGGCGACTTTGTCCTCCGTGTTGCTCTTCGGGTTAACTACAGAGGCTCTACAAAAGCCTTGTTTATTAACACACGAAAGAATAACGTCTGGGGATCGATAGTACCATTCCGAAACTTCCCATTTCCAACAGGTTCTGTGTCTACGACGATTTCTATGACGGTTACTGTTAAAGATAGTAAGTTTGTCATAACTGCCAACGAAATTAAGATAGCCGACTTTCCATACCGTGGATCTCTGACCTACAACAAAGTGGCCAAAATCTTGTGGGGTGCCAATGAAGGCACAGCCACAAAGAAATCAAAGTTGGAGAAGATCTCAATCTCGTTTCCTTAAGAGGACAATGAATTAGCATGTCAATAGGAATTTTGGACTGCTTCAGACATTGTAGAATTACTGTACCTGCTTGCTGTATCGTAGAATATTTGCCGGATCATTATGCTATTTAAGTGCGCATGTGCAGGCTATTACATACTAATTAGCATCATTTGTCGGGTCATAGGCTATTGAACTGCGCAATTGCCTATAACATACTGATTACCAAGTGCAGGTCATGAAGCTGGGAATGGGTATTATTATGTTGTGGCACTGTAAACCATTTATTAATCTTCCGAAACTCTGATACTGACAGAAATACTTCATAAATATCCTGAATCTATGGGAAGGGACAACCACAAGGACAATAGTGCAAGTAGCTATGGCATTGTAATTCATTACCTCTATATAATGCCCAGAACACAGTGTCTCATTGGTTCAAATCCACCCAGGGCAAATTGTCCTGGAGGTCTATATAGTTGTGTTGCCTTTTCCTTGCTCTGACTTCGTTCTTGTTGACACGACCTTGTTTTGAGCTGGGAGTCTTTTGTGGTTCAATTACCCCAGCCGGCTCCAATACGGAGTGAGAGTTGCTGTGCAATAGAGCACAGTTGTTAGAGTTCTGCCTTTGTCGTGTGTTGCGTTTTGCAGTAGATTTGAACACCATACCTCCCTGTAGCCGGTATAGGTTTGCTCAATCTAGAATGCAGGGTTAGAATCCTATCAATGACAGCTTATTTTTTGTGTTGTCTTGGTGAGGTATCTGGATTTAACGAGTTCTTCACTAGAAGTTGAGTGGTGTGTATCACTAGGGAAAGTGAAATATGATTTCCCAGTTAGCTACCTGCAATAAACTAAGGTATTCTTTGCCTATAGCTTTCCTCTTAGAGAGTGAAACTTGATTTATTGTCTACAGCAGTGGCGGATCTAGAAGCTTCTACACAAGGGGGGTTGCTGCCATGCCAATCGTAGACACTGATGCGCATGCGCGTGGACACTGATGGCAACGCCCCCCAACGAAAGGAAGAGCTTCAGGGGATGAGGCGACTGCTCAGAGACATGACGTTCGTCGTAGCTAGGTTCGCTATCGGTGTTGATACGCTTCCGTTTCGCCGCGCTAGATTGACAGAACGTTGACAACTTAGTTTGCCTGCTCATATCGATCAACGCGGCCAGCTGTTGGACGCACGTTGTCTGCGTGAGAGTACGGACCCCCCCTTAATCCGCCACTGTACAGTATAGGGTAGCCATCCATAAAAGAATGTGCTTCTTTAGTGACGATGAGCATGAAAGTGTGAGTCATGTTTTGTAGGAGGTTCCAGTCTTAGGGAACCATGGGGGTGGGTTTGAGCGGCATCTCCAGTCACTTGGAGGAAAGCGTTAGGTAGTGAGTGAGATCTCATGTTTTAGAGCTATAAAAGCGTAGTAGTTACCCTCGGCGCGCATGCGCAGCGAGGGTACTGTAGTTGGGTCTGTGTGTGTGTGTCTGTCTGTTACTCTACATCTCACTTCTCGAATGTTTGTTCGTCTCACAAACGATACGACCTACAATTAACGGGCAATGACGAAGGTCAGAAAATTTGTGCTGTTTTTTTCTGAAAATGCTCCGTTGCAAAGCTAGAGCGCTTCCAGCGTTGTATACTTCTACGGCTAATGTCGCTGCGGAAAATGCGCATGCAGTTATTATGCTAATTCAACCGTGCCCGCTTGCTCTGTGTATCTTGAAGGCACAAGAAGTCACAACGAAGGGCGTGTATCGACTCCCGCATGCTATCTACTACTGTAACTAGCCCGTGTCAGACTCTCCGCGAGCTATACTAGTAGGAGACCACCACGAAATAAGCCCAGCCCACCAATTAGCAGTACCGCGCATGCGCAGTTCGCCGAGGGTTTGCACTGTAGTGCTTTTCATTAGTCTCTGGTGTAAGGCGCCACTGGAAAAAGGGGTTGTGGTACAGGGTGTCTGGGAGGTGAAGCAGACAGTACATCTGCATTTAAGAGTTCTTCACTAGAAGCTATATATGTAGCTATGTTGTATAGCTATCTCTAGGAAAAGATTTACGTTATAATATATAAACACGATGGAAAAGATTTTATCCTTTTATAATGTAATTTTTCAATGATGTTTGTGGGGAAACGTCCCAAGAAAACAACACTAACTAGCCCCCTTTTATAATCAATATTCTGTTGCAAACGGAATTGTTGGGGTCTACTAAGAATTAGACACCTGCATTCAAGAATTTGCCCCTAGTCTTTAACATTCATGAGTGCTTAGTGTTCGTTTACTTACTTTTTCAAATGTACATACGGACTCAACAGTGGGCCGGAAGAGAACTTGGGACTCAACAGTGGGACTCAAAAGGAGAACTTGGGACTCAACAGTGGGTACGAAGGAGAACTTGGGACTCAACAGTGGGTACGAAGGAGAACTTGGAACTCAACAGTGGGTACGGAGGAGAACTTGGGACTCAACAGTGGGTACGGAGGAGAACTTGGGACTCAACAGTGGGTCAACAGTGGGTGCATACGGACTCAACAGTGGGTACGGAGGAGAACTTGGGACTCAACAGTGGGTACGGAAGAGAACTTGGGACTCAACAGTGGGTACGGAGGAGAACTTGGGACTCAACAGTGGGTACGGAGGAGAACTTGGGACTCAACAGTGGGTACATAGGGACCCAACTGTGGGTGCGTAGGAGAATTTGTCAAACTGGACTCACAGTGGGTCGAGAGAGAACTTGGGACTCAACAGTGGGTCAGAAGAGAACTTGGGACTCAACAGTGGGTACGAGGAGAACTTGGGACTCAACAGTGGGTACAGTGAACGGACTCAACAGTGGGTACGAGGAGAACTTGGGACTCAACAGTGGGTCGAAGAGAACTTTGGACTCAACAGTGGGTACGGAGGAGAACTTGGGACTCAACAGTGGGTACGGAAGAAAACTTGGGACTCAGCTGTGGCTTACATAGGGACCCAACTGTGGGTGCGTAGGAGAATTTTCAAACCTGGAACTCACAGTGGGTTGAAAGAGACCTTGGGACTCAACAGTGGGTACATAAGGACTCTGCAGTAGGTCGAAAGAGACCTTGGGACTCAACAGTGGGTACATAAGGACTCCACAATAGGTCGAAAGAGACCTGGGACTCAACAGTGGGTACATAAGGACTCCACAGTGGGTCGAAAGAGACCTTGGGACTCAACAGTGGGTACCGAGAATAGAACTTGGGACTCAACTGTGGCTTACATAATGACTCCACAGTAGGTCGAAAGAGACCTGGGACTCAACAGTGGGTACATAAGGACTCCACAGTAGGTCGAAAGAGACCTTGGGACTCAACAGTGGGTACCGAGAATAGAACTTGGGACTCAACTGTGGCTTACATAGGGACCCAACTGTGGGTGCGTAGGAGAATTTTCAAACCTGGAACTCACAGTGGGGTTGAAAGAGAACCTGGACTCAACAGTGGTTACATAAGGACTCCACAGTAGTCGAAAGAGACCTTGGACTCAACAGTGGGTACATAAGACTCCACAGTAGGTCGAAGAGACCTTGGGACTCAACAGTGGGTACATAAGGACTCCACAGTAGGTCGAAAGAGACCTTGGGACTCAACAGTGGGTACATAAGGACTCCACAGTAGGTCGAAAGAGACCTTGGGACTCAACAGTGGGTACCGAGAATAGAACTTGGGACTCAACTGTGGCTTACATAATGACTCAACAGTGGGTAAGGAGGAGAATTTTTCAAACCTGGTAGCTACTCACATGATTACGGCGGAAATCGCACTCCATATACGGTAAAAATACGATCTCAAGAAGGCGTGGCAAGTATTACGACAAACAGGCAGGTAGCTACGGGTGTTAGTACGGGTAAAGCCACGCAAAGTACGGGGAAAATTGCCGCTGGATACGGATGACGTTAGAGTTAACTTGGAGGCTATGGACTAGCTAGCCCGTGTCAAACTCTCCGCGAGCTACTAGCGGGACACCACGCATGCATACAAATAGCCCGGCCCACAATTATTAGCAGTATCGCGCATGCGCAGTTCGCCGACGGTTTGCACTTTAGTGCGTTACCCATGGGATGTTTGTATCCTTCTCCATGAATACAACTGTCATGAATCTTGTTGTGCATAATACTATTGTATTTTCACTTCATTGATGTTTGCCCAAACTGAAAATTTTTGAGCCACAGCTTGAAAGCAATGGCATACGACGAAAGGTCCATTTTCCCGTAGCAGGTCAACACATCAGGTTGTTCGTAATACATGAGATGTCTCTGGTGTCTCTAGTGTTTTTATAGTATCTTTAGCGTCTCTCGTTTCTGTGGTGTCTCTTTTTACTCTACTTCCCAAGCAAACAATTACTGAGGTTTCCTTGTTGATATACGTATTATTATTATACTACTATATCTGATACTACGATTATCTCTAGCCATGGTAATACACATAATTACTGAATATCTGTTCTGGTTGAAGAAATATGCAGCCCAGCCCACGATGCTCCGACAACTAGGCTTTGGTTACTCCACTTTCGAGGGAAAACAATTACTGATGTTTCACATCACAGTCAGAGCCCCCACACGTACGACTGCAGTCGTAGGACCACCCAAAACTGCTTCAGCCTATAAATACTGCAAGAGTGAGACCTTCAGTTAGATTAACGCTCACTGTACGACAGGAGGCAAACTGAATCTTGGAACAATGATGAGAGTCCAACTCGCAACCTTTATTGTCGTAACAGTCTTTATGACTGCGAATTCCTGGCCCTCAGAACAAGAAAGGGCCCTTGACTACCCAAGTGAGCTATTTTATTCGAACATGAATGTTATATAGCTACTTGCGTGTTTTAGATTTTCTACAGGAATGGGTGAGTGAAGACAATGAAGATTACCCGAACACCTTTGCTGGTCAGCTGCTCTGTCAAACTGTAGCTCCATTATCGTGTAACTACCAAGTAGTGTTCGACTATCCTTTTCGGGGTTTTTACACACAACTACATATTGGGGTTAAGTGTAATAAGGGACTCCTTAAAGTATGTATGTTTCTAACACTGTAATATGCACGCTTTAACAACCTTCAATTTTCCTCCTAATAGACGAGCAGGTGGATAATAATTACGGCGACGGTCTCCAAACTCAGTACATCCTTCCTGTTGAATCTCTGGAGGTCGGCCAGAGTATCACAGTAGTCTTCAGGAACCCTGACTCTGGTCGAGTGGGGCTGACTCTGGTCACCGACAACGGCGACTTTGTCCTCCGTGCTGCTGTTCGGGTTAAGTACAGAGACTCTACGAAAGCCTTCTTACTTAACACACGAAAGAATAACCGCTGGGGATTGATTGTAACACCCCAAAACTTCCCGTTTCCAACAGGTTCGGTGTCTACAACAATTTCTATGACGGTTACTGTTAAAGATAGTAAGTTTGTCATAACTGCAAACGAAATCAAAATAGCCGACTTCCCATACCGTGGATCTCTGACCTACAACAAAGTGGCCAAAATCTTGTGGGGGTGCCAATGAAGGCACAGCCACAAAGAAATCAAAGTTGGAGAAGATCTCAATCTCGTTTCCATAAGAGGACAATGATTCAGCATGTCAAGACTGTAGGAATTTAGGACTGCTTTTGACATTGTATAATTAGTATTACGTGCACGTGTTTGCTATATCATAGAATATTTGTCGGACGGTATTCAATTGATGTCTGACGCATAAAGGTTGCCCTTACCATATTTTCCCTGCACCAACAAAACTGTCTCACAACAGAAGAGATGCAGAGACTTTCGCTGTGCATGACGAGGTAACGAAGGCAAGTCAACTACACCCTGGACAGCTCTTTCTTTTCAAGGAAAGAAGAAGAGCGGCCCTACTTATAGGTGGGATTCGAACCCACGATACTCTGCTTCCTAGGTGAGCGCTCTACCAACTGAGCTAGCTACCAGGGCAACACTCGGGTTCAAATCATCAACACAATACAGCTCAAAGGCAAACCTCAAACCACTGTGCGACGGCACAGTATACTGTCACTCAGTATGTATATACCAAGGGTTAATGCGGCATGTGCGTTACGTAACCTCGATAGTTAAATTTCGCAGGGCTCTGCTTCAACAATTCACGGACCAATTTGGCTAAGTAAGTAGTTAATTTGTTGGTTCGCTGCACATGCCATGCCGAAGTCTGTTAAGGATTTCATGTTGAAGTCTGTTAAGGATTTCATGTTGAGCGTTTCAGGCCATGTTTCCGCCACAATTCACTGAGCTATAATTTTGCCCAACTAGCTACACAGTAACCTCACTGAGTAGCTCTTCAGTGCTCACTTCACATAGGCTCCAGGATATATAGCTAGCTTACTGGACTAGAAACCACACCTACAATGTAATTGCCTTTAATATGTGTTGTCTGCATTGTGTGCCGAGATTCTGGGACAGTTGGAGCTTATGACGTCAGAGCTTAGCGACCTGGAACACTGAGATAAGGATGTGTGCTTATAAGTCGATGAAGATGTTTTACATTAAAACTTGCTGTTCAAATCTACATTCTGAGATTCATAAACCTTAATAAAGTCACAATAACCATTATATTCTGCCTTGTGTATTTATCTGTGCATGCACGAATGCACACACGTACATATTAACTGTTTAACACCCATTTTTATACATTCACACAGACTTTTTTACTAGTGTGTTTAATTTGTGTGGTATTATATTATGAGCAATGAGGATGCAAGAATAAGCAAGAGTGGGGGATTAGCATGTGGGCGCAACTTATTAACCCTCGGCGCGCATGCGCAGCGAGGGTTACAGTTCGTCTGTGTCTGTCTGTCTGTCTGTCTGTCTGTCCGTTACTCTACATCTCACTTCTAGAATGTCTGTTCGTCCCAGAAACGATACCATCTACCCAACGGGCGACGAAGGTCAGAAAATATGTGGGGTTTTCTCTGCGTGCCTCGGAGGCACCAGAAGATGCAACGCAGGGTATGTATCGCCTCTCGCATGCTAGTATCTATAGTGTAGTTAGCCCGCGTCAGATTCTGCGCAAGCTGGCAAGAGAACAACTAAAACTAAACCCAGCCCATCAATTAGTGGTACTGCGCATGCGTTTACTTACGCGTGCGTGTCACAATGTGCCGAGGGTTTGCACTTCAGTGTTTTCATTCACAGATGCAGCCATCTGAACATGTGTTTACTGGCTGATAATGAGGTACAGTGTATTTTTTTAAAGTAGCTACCATTGGCTACCATTGTGTGATCATGAATGTGAGAGGAGTCTGATAATCCTGAGCACTAATGCTGCCAATCGTGTTGTCTCTGCATCACTAACACCTTGATGCAAAAACTTAAAATTGCAAGTACACAAACTGTAACACTCACTGCATGCACATGCACCACGCCGAGGGTTAATAATCTACTGGTGGAGCACCAATTTGGATAACACAACACTGGATGATGTTACTTTCAGTGAACAAACTCAACAGCGGTCTCGGTTGCTTCTGAATTAGAGTAATGGACAAGTAGATACAGGTGTCCATGTTTATTTGACTAAAGTTGCTTGCTTCCATGTCCGTCTCCACGTGGCATCAGTCTGTATGTGGTTCTCTCTCACGTACTTTGCTGTGTATCTATCAAACTCGTGGAATGAGAATCCTCTCACTGTTCTCAGTACAACTCCTTCAGCAGGACAACTGCCTGTTCAAACACACACACGCACACACACACACAACACTACTGTTAGGGATCTCAGAGCTGTACAGTGGTGTATACTTACCACACTGTGACTTGTTCAGTTGAATGGTTTGCTGCAGCTGGCCGAAGGAAGAAAACTGCAAATTGCGAAGGGATGGGATGTTTCCTGTCAATGACCCTTAAAAAGGCTGGTGTTTTGAACCACAATGTAGTACACGTGCTATAAATTGGCTAGTCGTCTGAATTGCACAGACATTAACAACCAACAAATCATGCGCCATGAAAATGTATGCCACATTCGTAACTGAGATAAAATTTGCAATTGTGCATGCAATCTGCATGATACTCATGCGCTCGCTCACCTAAAATATGTTGCATGGTAGTATGATTAAACACCACCGTGTGTTCCCAAAACTGAGTTTGCTCTGATGAGAACCACAGCGTTGTAGGGGAAATATTTAGAAAGAGACGCTATTTGGATCGTCCACCAAGAACATGGTAACTTTTCTTAGTAGTCTCATAGAGAGTCGCTAACTAGTAACACATCAAAGTGTTGGCCTACTGTTTGTCTGTTGAGTAATGGTACACTAGGAACATCCAGATCTCTCGCTAGACCACAGAGCTCATCCCACCCCAACCACTGCTCTCCATCCCTCAGTCCAGCAAAGGCATAGAAGAATGACGTGAGTCCGTCGTACTCGATGGAGTGGACTCCAAACATGTTCTCTCCAAACAACTGGATATTGTCGGGCATGCTGTAGTTGAGTTGACACGCCAGTTCTTTGACAGGGCCAAATGACGGGTGGGTGGCTGCAGTGTTTACTGTCCGAGAATACACCTACGTACATGTTAACAAAGAAAGTAGCTACATTGGAGGCTCAGCCTCTGAAATGCATGGAGCCACTTCGCAAAGGCTGGGAACGGATTGATCAACCTATGCATACCCTGAAATGCATCTCTAATCCATCTACTTTTTTAAAAGGTCCCATGTATATACATATGGCTGGAAGAGCAAAGTGTATTAGCTAGTCTGTTCTTTTGAACAACAAGCCCAGTAGGTATTTTTCCTCGGTATACTGTACTCCCTTAGTATACTGTTCTCCCTTGACTACTGTAACACAGCATGTTAGTTACAGTTCCACGGTAGATGCTGCAGTTGGCTCCGTCCAGTTTCTCAGTGAGAACTGTCTCCTCGCTGAGCAGGGGAAGAGAGCCCAGCTCCGCCTCCCCGATCACTACGTCGTCACTCTGCACACCTGAGGTGGCATGTGATGAGAAAGCATTTGCACAGCTTGAACTCTAGCTAAAGGCATTAGCTATACCCGGACTAAACGGGAGATGTGGAGTTCTTGGGTACTTCTTCACAACTTCATGCCTCTCCATCCTCAATATCCCAACCTAGCTCAGAGAAAAAGGCGGGGCTAGTGAGTTCCCGTTCCACAAAAGGGTGAGCTCCGCCGGGAGTCTGGACTGGAATGGAATACTGGACTCGGAATTATCCTACCGTACGCATGCGCAGTAAGTAGTTTCGCAGCGGTTCAGAGCACGCGAAAGACTAGTAACTCTCGATCCTGACGTTGCGATCAGAAAAACGCCCATACTTGGGATCATTCAATCCCTGATTCTCTTATAGAATTCTCTTGATTGATTCTCTTGGGCATAGCCACGCACGCCGCCAAACGCCTGGCCCTGTGCTGTCCGCCGACCTACCGTTTTCGAAGGATGGGCGTTGGACCACGTGCGTGGATGCGCCGGAGAGAATCAAGGATTGAATGATCCCAAGTATAGCCGTTTTTCTGATCACAACGTCAGGATCGAGAGTCACTAAACCCCGGGCCCCCCGTCGTTGCGCAACTACTTACTGCGCATGCGTACCGTAGGTTAAAGGTCATTCCAGTATTTCCACAGCGTTTAGAGACTCCCAGCTCCGCCCAACCCGGCAATATCTACTGGTTTAAGCAGCAGGTCAGTAGAGGGTGTGATGGCGATGTACGACGTCGTTGTGGTAGGAGCAGGGATAGAGGGTAGCGCCACGGCCTACTACCTGCTGAAGAAAGGACTACACGTCCTTTTATTGGAGCAGGTAGACTATCTAGCTAATCCAGCTATAGCTACACTAAGGTGCTGTCGTTTTCATCACCCCTGTTTGTTGCCAGTTCTCGGCACTGCACAGCCGAGGCAGCTCCCACGGTCAGTCTCGGATCATCCGCAGAGCCTACGACAAGCCTCAGTATGTCCGGATGATGAACGATGCCTACACTCTCTGGAGCGACTTCGAGAAAGAGAGCGGAGCCACTTTATACAGGTCACAAAGCGCATAGAGGCCTCTCTCTGCCTTTAACTGACTATATTATACAATGGTTTTTCTTGCAGAAAGACAGGTATACTGGTGTTTGGACCTCGTAAAAACATCGCAGTGTCATCTACTGCACATAGCCTGGCTAGTGGGCAGGTGCCTCACGAGCAGTTCAGTGGCCGGGAGGCTAACAGGAGGTACTCCCAACAGCTGAAACTCCCCGAGGACTACCAATGTGTCTTTGAGGAAGGAGGAGGCATACTCAATGCTCAGAAAGCAGTACTGGCATTTCAGGTATCCCACAATGTGCCTTGTGCTGTGTTTTGAGTACTTGCTATGTATGTGTCTTGAACTGTCTGATTATTGTGTGTGTCTCGCCTGCTCATGGTATCCATTGTTCTCTGACTGCCCAGGAGAGAACCTCTCTGTTTCTCTCCTTTCTTTTCCCCTGATCCCACACTGTCTCTCAAAGCGTCAAATTCATAATCAAACATGAATTTCTCTCCGTATGACTGACCTTAATGCAGTATCCCTTCTTCTCTTCTGTTTTTTGTCACTCATTGCCCATATAATACGTAAAATCAGTCTGTATCCCTGGTCCCACTACCTATATTTCTCGTTCTTTGTGTCTGTTCTCTTCCCTCCCCCCTCCTTAGGCTGGGTTCACAATATTATGTTGTGTTACCCCATCGCACCTTGCAGCTTTGCCGTGTCGCGAGGATAAAATCTATTTGCGGCACCACGCGATGCGGCACGGCACGACAGGGCAACGTGACATAATTGTGAACCCAGCCTTACTCTCTAACTCTCGCTACCTCACAGCAACAGTTCCAGAAGCTGGGAGGAACACTGCTGGACCACACCCAGGTGGTGGAGATCCAGGCAGGGGGAGCTGTCGTGACAGTGGTCACTGCCCCAAGGAAGGCTTTCTGGGCGAGGCATCTGGTGGTAGCTGCTGGGGCTTGGACCACGGCACTTTGCTCTTCCATTGGACTCAACCTCCCATTCAGAGTACATAATATCATGTCACTACCTGCTTCTTATAGCATGTGTAACAAAGGCTTGGGAGGGTGCTATACATGACTTCTGTATTCCCTGTATATACCTCAGACTGTGACAATAGGCATAGTGTGTACTTACACAGTGAAAGGAATGTGGGCTTACTAATTACCAGCTAACCCACTGGAACAGTGCCAATCTCTATTCCTCTGACTGGAGTTGTCTATCTGTCGACTTTGACAGGTTTTAAGGAGTGAGCTGAACTTCTGGAAGGTGGAGGACCCAGCAGTCTTCACTCCCGACAAGTTCCCCGTCTTCATTGGCTACACTAGTGACGATGATAATGACACACACTACTATGGACTACCAATCCACGAGTATCCCGGTCTCTTGAAGGTACGTTGTTGATATACCCTATGTAGCTTATTTGTTTGTACGTAGCTCATGCATTGCTTGTGCCAAAGAAAACACTACACTCTCCAACTTAGTAATACACATGTGCTATGCACTGTGCAAATTAGGAAGCTGTAAATTAGCATCACAGTGATGCTGGCACTCCTGCAGCACACCAATGAAATGTGTATACTAGTAGTCTCGTACCCAGCCACTCCACCTATAAGAAGGAGCGTCTGATAGCTTTTGACACATACAACCTTGTCCAATGACATCATATCCGTAGTATCGAAACTGCTCTTCTAGTATGTGATGCATACGGGGACGTTGATTGGCCCCTCTGCAATCTGATTGGATATCTAGTTTTCGAGATCTGTGACCAAGAAATGTGTCGATAAGTTACCAGACCTGTGATGAGTGGGTGGAGTCTCGGCACAACACTAGTAATGAGCACACAAGTGCAGCGGTGGGTATAAAGAAATCTCCATAATCATGTGCACACACACACACATACACAACAGGTATGTGCCCATGGAGGAATAGCGATAGAAGGTCCTGACTCCAGGGACAGACCAGGAGGACCGGGCACAGTGGTCCCAGTGAGCCAGTTCATCTCTCAGACCCTGAGAGGAGTCTCTACCACCGCCAGCATCACGGAATACTGCATGTACACTGTGAGTCATCCAATACACTGCCAAGAACCACAGCACAATTAGCTAATCGTTGGTGGTTTCGTGGGTTTCCTGAATTACTCAATAGTATTCACATTGAGGAGGCCACTACTTGTTAGTGCACGTAAACTGTGTGTGTGTGTCTCAGAGTATGTGGGGATGGCACAGGTCAAATCTCACACGATCCACGTACAAAAGGCTCCAAACTCGACGAGAACGGTTAGCAAAGCCTTGAAACTAAGCAAAAATCACTGACGGGCCCATATCTTCTGATATTCTCAATAATCTCCATGCGAACAATCGCTTATGCTGATTCTTCATCTACACCCGCTATCTCCTTATGGTTGAAGTTTCACTAAACGTCTCCAGATTCGCCAGAGGTGTGCACGGACACCAAGCGATCGTTTCTCTCCCCCCTCCCCTACGTCTCTACAGTAGATCACATTTGACTCTCAATGACAGCATTTTCTGCCAACTCAGCATGCATGGTGGGGACGTCGTCCGCGTGCGGCCTACTTGACTCTGCACAGGCTAGTATTCTTTTTGCAAGCGTCATTGCGCAGGATGCGAGATTAAAAAGTGCGGCCAATAAACCACGTATTGTAACCCTCGCTGCACACGCAGGCCGAGGGTTAATGACATGAGTCACAAAAGTCTGTACAGAGTGCATAAACAACCTCCTATATAGAAGAAAGCAGTTATTACAGGTGCACCAATAGTACCCTCTCTTCCACTCCAGATGTCACCTGACTTTGACCCTGTCATTGACAGACATCCACTCTACAGCAACATCATAGTAGCCTCTGGGTTCTCAGGTATTACGTATGCAGTAGCTACATACCACATGACCTACTGAATGCATAGAATGAGATCTCAGATGTATGAGCACTCAACAGACAACTTTATTTACATAAGTGGTGAGCGAAGCAAGCCCACCGAGTCGTCCAAATTATGTCATTCCTTCTATGTAGATGGTGTCCATACTGTATTGCTTTATGTATTTTTTCCCCTGTAAAGTTGCCTCAATCACCAATATCGAATTACGAAAAGCACTGAAGTGCAAACCCTCGGTGCACTGTGCATGCCCTAGTGGTACCGCTAATTGATGGGTTGGGCCAAGAGTATGCGTTTACTCGTCGTCTCCCCACTCTAGTAACTCGCGGAGAGTCTGACACGGGCTAGCTACGCTAGTAGATAGCATGCGGGAGTCGATACACGCATGAAGTTGTGACTTCTTGAACCTCCAAGGTACACAGAGAGAGCGAATCAGGTCGTGCAAGCCCAGTGGATTATGAATATTGGGTTTTTCGCTTGTTTTCACGGCATATCTCTCGAACGCAGTCGTTTCGGGATAATCACCTTTTATTTTTCAGGCTCGCATAGTTCTGAAGCCGCTGGTATCGCTAATAGGTCGCCTTGTAGCCTGGTAGTGCCAGAACATCGACACACAGACAAACCAAATACATGTACTGTAACCCTCGCTGCACATGCGGGCCGAGGGTTAATAATGTCATTGTGGGTCCTTCTCGGGCACAGTGAACCTCCGCACCCCTCAGGGTCTGTCATATTTTTCTTTCTGTCTGTCTGTCTGTTTGACTGTCTGTGTGACTGCAGGTCACGGGTTCAAGCTTGCTCCAGTGGTTGGAAAAGTGATTTCGGAGCTGGTGACTGGAGAGAGCCCCTCTCATGACCTTCACCTGTTCAGACTCGCCCGATTCCTCCCTCCTCAATCACATCTCTAACAGTCTCACACACAGAATCAGCTATATATTTTGATGACGATGTGTCCTTATTACTTGTAAAGAAGCTGGTTATTGCCTAAATATGATTTTATCCCATGACTAGCTAGAATGCATTCACCTACCTGTGCTAACCCCAATCTCCAACTGCCCCTGTTATTCTTCGCGTAGAAAATCTTGTATGTGGAAATCACTCAAAATCATCTGTAGATGTCAGTCAGAAACTTGAAACAGATCTGGCTGTGTAGTTACGCACGCAACATTTCTGCTCAATATTATATGGATGGCATGAGAACGGCAGGTGAATAGTGTATGTTTTGACAATAATTATACACAGCTGGTTGCCCTAGAGCAGAGTTATGATGAACGCACCACTCTTGGTGCTACTTATAGGCTTATGAAACGTGTCATGATTGATCATGAACTTGGCACACTTTAAGTTTTTCCTCTTGGGGAATACATTACCATTCATACTTCCCTTTCCAAGCTAAAGGCATTACTCACTGGAGAGTATTTGGACAAAGGCTCCACTGTAAACTGGCCATGACAGCTGGCACACATGTACAGATCACCATCAGGGCCTCGTCAGACCATGAGAGAATCTTGAGGCACAACGTTGGTCAGTGGTCAAACTGAGGAAGCTAGTGGACAGGGTTACTGCTGAAAGAAGCCACACTTATGCTGCTTCTTTCATGCTACCTTCCCCCCTTAATTTGCCAGGGCTGCAGCGTGGCCACAGTCTGGCCACAGTACTACCAACTTACTGGAACAAAATTAT